CCCCACATCCCAAACTGTCACCTGGGGTGGGGACATGCCCCAAAACTGCCCTGTACCTCAAAACTCTCACCTGGGGTGGGGACATTCTGCCCCTCTCACATTCCTAAACTCACCTGGGGTGGGGACAATTCCACGGAGCCACCCCACATCCTAGAATTCTCACCTGGGGTGGGGACACGCTACAAAACTGTCCCACTTTCCCAAACTCAGCCAGGGTGGGGACACAGCAAGGAGCCATCCCATGTCCCAAACTGTCACCCAGGCTGGGGAGATGACACAGAGCCACCCCACAGCCCAAACTCATCCAGAGTGGGGACATGACATGGAGCCGTCCCATGTCCCAAACTCTCACCTGGGGTGGGGACAATTCCACGGAGCCACCCCATATCCTAGAATTCTCACCTGGGGTGGGGACATGCCACAAAACTGTCCCACATTCCCAAACTCAGCCAGGGTGGGGACATGCCATGGAGCCGTCCCATGTCCCAAACTGTTGCCCAGGCTGGGGACACGCCACAGAGCTGCCCCACATCCCAGAATTCTCACCTGGCATGGGGACAGGCCACGGAGCRGCCCCACATTCCCAAACTCACCTGAGGTGGGGACAATGCCATGAAGCCACTGCACATCCCAAACTCTCACCCAGGGTGGGGACATGCCACAAAACTGCCCCATGTTCCCAAATTCAGCCAGGATGGGGACACACCATGGAGCCACCCCAAACCCCAAACTCACCCAGAGTGGGGACATGACATGGAGCCACCCCACATCCCAAACTCACCCGGGGTGGGGACATGACATGGAGAGACCCCACATCCCAAACTCACCCGGGATGGGGACAATTCCATGGAGCCACCCCACATCCCAAACTCACCCGGGGTGGGGACATGACATGGGGAGATCCCACATCCCAAACTCACCCCGTTCCGTGCAGCCTCTGCCTCATCTTCCCCGGCTGTGCTCGGCTGCTGCTCCCAGCAGTGGGGGCTGAGCTCAGCCCCTCCAGAGGTGCAGGATTGCAGGAATTCCCTCCTGGCAGGGTCCCCAGGTCCTGCTGGGCTGCAGGGATGTGACCCCCGCCCGCTGCCAGCCTTGGGGACACCGGGACTGCAC